TGCTAGACTTTAAGTGAAATCCGTAATTTTCAGAAATTCAAGATTTATTAAGTATATGCTAAGTGCTCAATATATTAAGTTCGTATTAAATATTCAGATATTTTATTCGAATTAAGTGTCGTTCGTTCCGAATCCTAGTCATCGAGCCTTAGAACATGCCGAGTCCTAATAGCATAATACTTAGAATTTTCTAAGTATTATGAAGTGCGAATTCAAGTCCTAGACCTCGTTCGGAAAACCGAGAAGTTAACCGAGCCACTCGAGCCGCGACCCCGCCCAAGGCCCCTGGTCGAGGTTCAAGACCAAGCCTAAGTCTTAACCAACACTTGGTATATTTTTCTAAGTCATATAGACACAAGAAAAGCCTCAAAAATTGGTCCACCCGCAGCGCCCAGCAGCAAATGCCGCGCCCGAGGCCCAGCGCCCAGCACGTGCCAGACAGCATCAGCCCACCTTTTCGGGCCCATTTCACCAAGCTCCGGCCACTTTCACCGAGCCCAACTTTGAGACAATGCAACTCACTTACTAAGGTTTAATTTCAGCCCAAATGGCCCTAGGCAAAGTCAAAGTCAAAGGCTTTGGTCTTGGTCCAAAGTTAGTGGGGGTCATGTACTGGATTCAACATCATGTATAATATCTGTACCATGACAGAGGTATGTTCGAGACAGTTAGTTCTCCCAGGTGAGGGGCCGACCTAAGGGCCTTCCGAGTTTCACCTAGTACCGGTGGAGGCCAAAGACCTTAATATCCCATCGGGGTGTGCACACGAGCGGCCGAGGGCCGAGGGTCTTTTGACCACAGTAAAGAAAGAAAAGAAAAGTTTACAGATTGATGTTCATGACACGTTATTATAAATGTTGTTTTATTCAGTACTAGTCTTTGCGCAGCATAGTGGTTTGCTCACGCCCTTATTGTGTTTTTCAGGAGACGGAGTCGAGCGTGCCGGGTGAGCATATGCGTGGCGAAGCGTGGTCATGATAGTCGAGGACATTTTTACGCACATTTTATGTCCTTATTCTTATGATCATGTATTATTCAGATATGTATGCATGTACTTTATGTATTTCCGTATTCCGGATATGCTTCCGCTAGCAGACCTAGACTGAAAATAAAGATTCGCTCTCTACAAACCCTCGGCCCCAAATTCTTCCCCGCTCGTCTCCTCTAATTGACAGCAGTCGGCCTTCCATAGTAGCCACCGAGCTTCGCCGGCGGTCGTCGGCCCTTGGCCGTTTGGCTCCTGTCCCCAATTTTCCGCTCTGCTGTCCGTCTTCCATGGAGGTCGGCCTCGTCTGTCACGATGGGACTTCGTCTTTTCCAACGCTGACAAGCGATTTCACGGTGGTGGCTCCTCTGTTGGGCGGTGGTGGAGCCGTGGCGCGGGACACGAATCAATTGCTCGTCGACCATCTTGGTTGGGCGATTGAGTGGTGCTGCTGTTCGACGTCACTCTCCCCGCTATTCTCGGCTTTCGGGTCGCAGGGGTCGTCGCGTCCCTTCTCCTGCCAGTGGTGTTGGTCGGAGTGGGATGTGGCGGTGCGGCGGTGTTGGGCGGCTTTGGGTAGCTTCCAGGCGGTCTTGGGTTGGGGCTGGGGTCGTGGCACTCCTTTGTCCGTCCGTGGCAATCTGGTGTAGTGGCCGTGGTACGGGGTGGCTTGGTGTGGTTCTGGGGTTTCGTGTTTCGACGTCGTTAGGGAACCGAGTGGTTTGAGCAGTTTCGGGGTCGGTACACATAGCTGCGGATTCACAGTCGCCTTGTTTTCGCTGGTTCGGTTAGGTGTAGCTACTTTGGAAGGGCTTGGTTAATTTCGTTGCTTTTGTATTGGTTTGGTTTGGTAGCTTCATATTTTGTATGTGTTGAGTCTGTGTGTGTGATTTTTGGTCTTGTTTTTTAGGTTTGGGCCGTTGGCCCCGGTTCTGATTCCCCTGTGGGGGGCGTTTCATATTCTCCTGTGGGGAGCGTTCGTAGTTGGTGTGTTGGTGTAGTTGTGTGTTGTGTGTTTTATTTTCTAGCGTGGCTAGCGAGGTTCTAGGCGGTTTCGATTCGTCCTCCCAGTTTTTAGTTCTTGGTTGTAATATTCAGTCTTGGGCTGCTTTCTTGCACAGTTGTGCGTTTTGATATATAATATGCCTATCGTTTCGTCAAAAAAAAAAAGCAAACCTAGACTGTGCGAGACATTTCAGACATTGCATGTGTGATTCCATTATCCGTAGCGGATAGTTTGGTTGCATGTTTCATTTATGTCTGTGAGCAAGTTAAGTAAGTTTTATCTGTGACATACCACAACAAGTTAGTATTTTCGAAACCAAGCTCGCACCACCTTTCGAAAATAAAAGCGAAAATTTTACTCTCATTTTCAAAGCTAGTAAGGCGGGGTGTGACAAAAAGCACTAAAGAGGCTGCTTATTCAAGTAATCCAAAGCCATAAGTCCTCTATTCATTTCTATGAAATTTCTGCAGTTTCTTGTTTATTGAAGTATTATGTTTGGTTATGTTTTGTGAATATTTTTGGAACTTGGAACTTGGGTGTGCTGTGAATAATGCATGTAGCATATGGTGGTGGCTTCTTTTGATCTTTTGGCTTCTTTTGAACTTGGGTATGAAAAATTGTGGTGAATTGGTATGAACAATGGTTGTTGAATTGAATGGGCAGTGGTGATTGTTCTTGGATTTGGTATGAGAAATNTAGGTAGTCTATAATTGAATGAAATAAATCAGGCTGTTGGAAAATTAGAAGCATTAGTTAATATAGAACAATATGTTGCCAATGGTACATAGAAAATCAGAAACAACAATTTTGGCATACAATAGGGTAAATACCATACATGATCCGCTCATTTTTTACACATCAACACCAACCATGAGATTACAAGTAGTAGCACTAAAATGTTGTTCTTCTTATTGCATTGACTATTGTCTTTTTCCAGCTTCTTCACCTTCTTCATTTTTTTCTCATTTGCTTCAAGAGTAGTTGCACTTTCAGCATGTCGCCGGTTTGTTTCATCTTCTAGGCGATTTATTTTACGCAACAAACCAGGTATTATTTCCTTTGATCTTGCACACATCGGAGGGTCAAACCACTTCCAAAATGTGCAAGCGTCCTGCCCGCACTTCAGGTACCTCCTTCCGGGATTGGATGGCGTCCATGAAGTTTTCATTCGAGCATACTTACCGCAAAAACAAAGAACTCCAGTTTCTCGCATCGACAAACTTGAAGAACTCTTTTTTTTTTTTTTTGGTGGAAGATGGTTGGAGATTAAGAATTGAGCTTGTGTTGATTACTATTTATAAGGAGCTGCGTTGAACACAATTTTCCCGCCATTTGAAGATGAAGAAGGTAATTTTCCCTCCCTTTATACCTAGCAGACTTTGACTAACGTCTTACTTAACAAGACTGTTAAGTTTGGAGTGGTAACAAATTGACAACGAAAATTCAAAAAGGACCATAATTGGCGTGTCTGGGACCAAATGTGGGAAACAACAAAATTTTTGGGACCAAATTTATAATTTTCTCTATTTATATATATATAATAAGATTAACATTTATTAAAAATAGTAAGCAAAAAAATAGGGAATATTAATTGCATTGCATTTTTGGTATGTTTTTCTAATTTTTTTTTATAAAAAATCAAGTAGCATTTAATGCTAGCACAAATCATGGGATTTGTTATATACATGCATATTTGAATTTCAAACTTCAAACAAAACATGCCTAAATGTATTTTAAATTTTTTAGGGGAAAATTTTAACAAACACGTTAAAGATTTCATACAATACATATATTTATATATATTATCTTAACATATAGGTTAATTAGTTTCATATCTAAACAATATATAAACAAATATAATAATTTATCGTACAATACAGACAAATATATAAACAATATATTTATATACAAATATAATAAACAATACAAACAAATATACAAACAATATATAAATAAATATAATAACTTGTCACGTGTATATTTCGTACAGTACATATATTTATATATATTATCTTAACATATAAGTTAATTAGTTTCATATCTAAACAATATATATTTTAAGAACTTAAAGATTCATAACATTACTGACGTCATGTATTTTTATAATATATTGTCACGTACATTTTACTACAATTGGTAACTTTTTTAAAATTATTTGAATAACTGGAGGGTGATTTGTAATTTGAATTCAAATTCATTCAAACATTTAAAGGAAAATATCATACGCAAATATTTTTGATACATTTCTTTTTATCTCAACTTACATATAATCACATTCCTACCAAACATTAAATCTGCTTATATCTTTTTAAATTAATTACATCACTAAATAATATTAATATACATTACATATTTATCATTATATAACAAATATATTACTTCTACAAGTGTTATAAATAATAATGACATTATATGATAATAGATTTTTTGATAGATTAATATTTGAGTATTATGATGAACCAAAATATGTAAAATTATTATTATTTTGTATTAAAAAATAAATATATATGTTAAAATATTATTTATAATAATATAAACGGGTCAGCATGCTATTACAATAAATTTTATAATAAAATAATATGAGTATTATACGAGGAACAAGATTACGTAAAATTGTTATTTTTCTTATATCAAGGAATAAATATATATAATGAAATCAAATTTATATTATTATAAACATGTGAGCGAAATAATATATTAATTAATTTACGGTCTAGCGCTACCACTACCAGGCTCAGGTTTAATGTCTCGACAAAAAAGATGACGTTGATGAAAGAGGTAAAAAAATAGATGATCAAACTCTATTATTTTTTTAGGCGTTAACTGACAAGCCCTATTGTCCACTCATTTAATATCTCCCGTGAATCACACGAGCTACTTAACAGACAAGCTCTGTAGAAATGACTCATTTAATATTTATGTCCCGTGCATCGCACGGGCTACGTACTAGTATGAGTAAAAAACAAATAGAAAGCGAAGGCACAAAATCATTGAACAAATTTAATTTAGCTTTGGTGGGCCGAGCCAGGCCGTAGCAGTTGAGCAACGCGCGAAGGCCTGAACAGCAAGCTGCTCATTGGGCCTTCACCCAATAAAAAATAATTTTATATCTAGTGGAACAAAAGTATAAGATATGGGCATGCTTTTCCTTTAATTTTTAAGGAACAAAATTCTCAAACACAATAGGAATAAATATACAGAGACCGAAAATTTGTGTAAACACTAGATTTAAAGCATCTCACTAGCAGAAGAAAATAATAATAAAAATAAAATACAAATTACAAAAATCTAGTTGGTGCAATCAAAACCACGGCAAACAGAAAGCCAGATTATGAGCACCAAGAGTAGGATAATCCCAAGCACAACCAACTTTATTTTCATGTTTTGATACCACATTTTTCTTCTGATTTGAGTGCCTTGTTTCTTAAATTCTTGGGCCTGCACGAGTAAGGGAAAAAAGCATATGGGTATGGAAGCAAATAAATTTAGGAACAATTTTAGAGAAAATGCAAGGATTCATACCGAATAACGCAGATCTTCAGCCTTGTCGTTAAGAACGGTTAGGTTTTCACCTCTTTCGAGAGTCTGAAAAATGCATCATACGTTAAAAAGTGAAAACTAATGACCAAATATAAAAAAATAAAACAAAAGAAACAACGCTGATGAGTTCACATTGACTATATATATTGCATAGACATCACAACGAGTTAGCCGCTACTGAAATACAGCAAGAAAACATTTCCCTTTCTAGTTTCTACTTTCATGTTTATCTTGTAATACTATAATTACTCTAAAGGCCCAGCATTGCTCATAACATTTATCAAAGCTAGCTGGAAGATTATCCAGGTATTAACTCGTCAATGCCAGCGCATGGAGGAATTTTTTACTCTTAACATTAATCTTACCTTTTCAATTTCAATGCTAAAACTGCTTCATTTTCAATTTCAATATATACCTTGTCTATATTCTCCAGCATAATACTTTTGACTTCCGAAACTTGGGCCTTAACTTTCAATAGCTTCTCGATCTCATCCGCATGGTCGATAATATATTGCATGTGCTCTTTCATCAGAGGCCTGTGTATGAAAAGTTTTTTAAAAATAAAAAAATACAAAACATATCTCCAAATGATTCCAATGTCAAAAAATATTAATATGCCATAATTACCCGAATTCTTTGTTCAGACTTTTTACAACAGCTGTATCTGCTTTACCACCACCATATCTTTTCTTGAAATCGGCTTTGATACGTTCCAAAAATGCAATCGAGATTTGTTTCCCAACAGATTCTTTAGCAACTACACAGTAAGCTGCATGATATTTAACCATGGTGTCAAGTGGCAGAGCAGAAAGCTTCTCACTTCTTCAGGGACAATAAGAAATGCTACCCCTTAGGTATGGGCTAATCACGTAAACTCCCAATTACATTTCAAAATTACAAGTTAACCCCCTTGAGGCATTATGAGCACAGGATTGTTGTATTCCCTTCATTTTTATAGTATTCATATTAAAGCTAACTGGGGTTTTCATTAATTAGACTAAACCTCAGGCGTATTCCTTGCAATCACACATACGAAAGTGGTGAAGCGAACTATTGAAGTTCCTGATATCATTCTATATATTACAAAATTCTTTAAAATTCCAATTTTCTTGAGAGCTACGTACAAGATTCTTTAAGAACAATAACCCACGCTAAAAGATGTCAGTGTCCTGAATCATAATTGTGTGAGAATGACTTCCTAAGATCAAATGGCATGAGAAGACTATGTTTCACTACTTACTCATCACCATATCTAACTTAAACAAACAAAGTGTTTGATTTCAAGAACCGGATAATTATACCCCCACCACATATATTGTTAATGCTTAATAAACAAACAGATTGGCAGATTGCGTAGAAGTACCCGTGAATTATGAACTACAACTTCTCCTTCAAATGAATTTTTTTGCAAGTGTTTAGAGTAATAAACTTTAAACGCTTCCGAATTTAGACATTTGCAGAAATTGAAAATACATCTATCATTTAAGCCAAGATAATGAAGCAACTAAGTTTAAGAAAGCATACAAAGGGAAAATAACAATTTAGTAAAGCTCATTCCACCGGACGGCATCTTAAGTTACATCATTTGGTTCGCGATATATCTGCATTAAAAACTGATCAAGATTGTACAAAAAGATAGCACTGATAGATTTCTAATTAAACAATAAATTATATTTCTCAAACACATTCATCAATCAACACATACAAATCAATCCTAGTAATATAAGTTCTTTGTCTCATTAATAAAGCAGAGACCGACTCCTAAACACTCGATGCAAATGATATTTCAGTTTAGAATCTGCATTACCTCTTACTGGAAAAACAATTGCATAAGCAGTGATCTCACTCAATATTACTTACCATAACTAACTATAACCTGTCTTTGCAGTGAAATAATTGTACCAAATTACCTTAAGAGTAAGTATCATGCATACTCTCTATGATATTCACCTTGCTGAACTAATTATAGACCCCATGCCCAAAATCCCCAGCAGACAATATTAGCAAAAGAACACTTGCACCTTTAACATATTAATTCCCAGGCATGAAAATTTTGCCAAGTTGCTTGAAGTTTGAACTGTGGCTTTAAGCTAAAGGAAATCTGTAAAGACTATTATTTTTCTAAACTTTCTACATCAGATCCAAAAACCCAAGTCGAACGTCAATCTCGATTCCCCTAATTCTAAACCAAACAATCAGAAAAATAGCTGCAATTAGCAGAAAAATGTTTANGAAAAGACAAATTACCATAGCCATCTTCAACTAGAAAGTTGAAAATGTGGTGATCACACTTGTAGGTGAACTTGTTGTTCGAAGATGGTAGCCTCTGCAGACACTGGGTTGCAATCGCCGGGAAGTTGCCGGTGAACTCGGTGTACTCGGCAAGTACCATCGTGCCACGCGCCACGAAGCTGTAAATGAACGATTCTTGGCCGCCGCCCATGGCTGAGTCGACTCGGAAATCTCGACAGGGAAAATGGAGTTACCAAAACCGACCACCTGATTAAAATATTGTCTCAGCTGCCTTTCTTCGTTTTTCTTCTTTTGTTTCCCTTTTTTTTCCTTCTGTGTGGGCTGCCTTTGATTTAGTTAGGCGAGTATAATAAATATGTTTATGAATGATATTCTTTGATTATTTATAAGGTTTCATCACTTTTTAAAAATGTTACCTTTTCTGAGTTTGTCTTCTTTTCTTCACACGCAAAATTTGATTGAACTTTCTTTCTATAACATTTTATTTTTCCTATGAAGTTTCAAAACTCTGAAAAAACATTTAATTAAATACGGTACATAATCCTATTCAACGTTATTTTATGTCCATTTTTTTCATGACAAAACGCGTATTTTCTTCATCCCATATATTTTCATGTAAGATAACCGAGTTGTTGATGTTTAATAATTGAAAATTTCGGCTCCTGACCTTGTCAAGTCTAATAAGGTTTATATCAAAATAGTTGCCTAGGAGTTTCCGTCATGTTATTTTAGCACCTTTTTGGTGGGGCTGTAAGTTTTTTTGCTTTGCAACTAAGGTATAGCTATATTTCGATTCTTTATTTAGATTAGGAATCGGGAAAAGGATAGTGAAAGATTTTATTTTTGGTAAAGGTTCCAAAAATAATATTTTGATATTTTCTTGCAAGCAAAGCAATCTATATATAGAGAGAGAAAGATTTATATGAGAATGACTCACAATTAAAGAAACAAGAATGAATTTGGAGCATTGGATTTACCACATCAATGGCTACTACGAAGTCAAAATTGATTAAAATCAGTCAGAATCACGGTGACATATTTGTAAATAATTGAACATCTTTGGATCAAATGTAGCCATCTTAGGGTAAATATGTAATTTAATTCACATCGCCCAACCCGTGAGCCCCACCCACCACAATTTAATCCCAGACATTATCATTTGTCATCATGCACACATACCGTAACACACACACACACTGCCTGCAGATCAATTGCTGCCGCCCGTCGGACACCAGGCCCGACGCCGACGAGTGCCATTCCGGTCCTGTGGACGCCGCCAAAGTCATAGCCACCTCTTTCGTCGACCTCCCCGACCTCCGCCGAACAACCTGACGCATCCCCGACCATCCTGACGCAACTGCCGTCCATCACTGCCGCCACCGTCAATCTGACGTCGTCATCTCAGTCGCACCATCTCTCTCTCTCTCTCTCTCTCTCTCTCTCTCTCTCTCTCTCTCTCTCTCTCTCTCTCTCTCTCTC